TCACGTCGTACATAAGCATTATACAGAATATGAATTATAACAAAACAAATAATCAATTAGTTTACATGGAAGGTACTTCTTGCTGGTTTAGATAATAAGTTCGTTCATATCAGTTTGTGGTGTTATTCAAATAAGTCTTCGCTGGGTTTTTTTTCTGTCATGAAATTTAACCATGTACGATATAGAAATACCGGTGATAACACATTACATACTATGTATATATAAAACTATTGTTTGTCTGTGTGTTATACATTGATATATAAGTAGAAAGAATTCAATAGTTTTATCTATAAACCGATGAAACAATCGATTTTATCTCCTGTCCCGTGTTTACCAAGAAATTAAAGGCGTTAAGAATGATTATAATGCTACCGGTGATATTGTTTATCTAGACCGAAAATTTTTGTTTTAAAATTATAATTCAATGTTTATCTTTACATTAATTTTACTAGTTGATATTCAACACCATGAAATGTGAATACCAGTAACAACACCATGAAATGTGAATGCCAGTAACAACACCATAAGATTATCATTTTAGAGAAAGAAATTTTCGGTCTAATTGTTTATCATATAAACCGGTGTATTGTCTCTATATAGCACCCGGTGATTAACACGTCTTTCCTTTGTATTGAAATATTGAAGTAACTTATTGAATGCAAAGTATTTACATAAAAAACGACTTCTATGTTCTTAGTGTGTCTTGTTGATGCGATTAGATAAACAAAACAGAAATATACTAATAGGATAGCGGTGCATATACCTTTTGGTAAAATGTTAAAATTTGTTGGAGTTGAAGAACCGGTGGATTACTATGAATAACATTTTATGTTTGATTTTTTTCCTTGAAATGGGAACTTAGACGTGGAGATATGCATGTCGTTTATTCTGAAAGTTGTCGATTGGTGTGCATATTTTGTATTTAATTAGCACAGCTGTCCGTGTCCCGGTGACCTCCCATTCATATCGTTGTTAATATTGTGCCATGTATGTAGTAGTATGCTGTGCTCTATAGCTACACATTATATTGTTTATGTTTTAAGCTGTTCTGTAGTGTTACAATTAGATATTTGAAATAAAGTTACATTTTACACCAACATATCTGTGTTGCGTTTATCATTTGACTTGTAGAAAGATGAGCTTGTTTCAAAAGCCTAATTTTATCCATTTGATTTTTAGGTCACCTTAGAGGAAGTCTCAAGTGACCTATTTCAATCTTTTGTCTAGCGTCGTCCGTCGCTTGCCATTGGTCGTGCGTCATACACAATTAAGAGCATTTTCGACTTCTCAGTAACCAAAATGCCTAGAGTCTAATATGCTAAACTACTTAACAGACAGAGTTATCAGTTCCGTTTAATTAAAGATTAGGCCAGTGTATTGCTGGGATAAAGGGCTGGAAAGTTCGTTCCAACAAATGGTCTATTTTCATTGGTGTCTAATATGCTAAACTATAAAACTGACTTATCTTTTCCGTTTTATTGAAAATTTAGCATTCAAACTTACAAACATAAAAAAATCTTTGTAAATATGCTTATATCAGTTTTGTACTGTCTGCTCCAAAGCTGGGACTGATGGACAGGTTCTGAAACTGGCAAAGTCCTGAAAAACCTCCGGTGACCGTTATTATTAGATTCGTTAAACAGCGTTAACTTGTCGAAGATCAATCAACATTTAAAACCCAATACTCGCTTCAGGAGGTAGATGTCACATCTTTCCATCTGAAAGAAAGAAGGTGATTTTGTCAAATTTTCGATGATGTGTGATTTTTTAAAATTACGTGTATTTTAAGTTGGTGCTACTCTTCAACAGAATGTAGACGTGTCTTCCACGGATATGAAGCTCTGGGCTTGTCGGACGTGAAGCCATTTCACTAGTTCAATCTGTGCTCTTAACTGTTAACACACAACTCTGAATAATGATAATAAATCTGGATATGTAGTGTATCCCAAGGTTTTGATCTTGTGTGAATGTCGGATGGATGTGTCAAGTTGATAGCTTAATCTGTGCTCTTAACTCATGACTCTGAATAATGATAATAAATCTGGATATGTAGTGTATCCCAAGGTTTTGATCTTGTGTGAATGTCGGATGGATGTGTCAAGTTGATAGCTTAATCTGTGCTCTTAACTCATGACTCTGAATAATGATAATAAATCTGGATATGTAGTGTATCCCAAGGTTTTAATCTTGTGTGAATGTCGGATGGATGTGTCAAGTTGATAGCTTAATCTGTGCTCTTAACTCATGACTCTGAATAATGATAATAAATCTGGATATGTAGTGTATCCCAAGGTTTTGATCTTGTGTGAATGTCGGATGGATGTGTCAAGTTGATAGCTTAATCTGTGCTCTTAACTCATGACTCTGAATAATAATAACAACAAATCTGGATATGTAGTGTATCCCAAGGTTTTGATCTTGTGTGAATGTCGGATGGATGTGTCAAGTTGATAGCTTAATCTGTGCTCTTAACTCATGACTCTGAATAATGATAATAAATCTGGATATGTAGTGTATCCCAAGGTTTTGATCTTGTGTGAATGTCGGATGGATGTGTCAAGTTGATAGCTTAATCTGTGCTCTTAACTCATGACTCTGAATAATAATAACAACAAATCTGGATATGTAGTTTAACCTAAAGGTTTAATTTGTGTGACTGTCGGATGGTAGTGTCATTTAGATTGATGACTCAACTTTTATTAGATCCAGAGGAATATTTTAATACATAATTTGGCTCCTTTATATCCAATTCTGAATTTGTTGATAGCAGCAATTGACTCGTGTGTCTTTTTGTCTTCGAGATTGAAGGTGTTATGTACTGCCGGTGTATCATTCTGCCACAGTCATTTAAATGGTGGCACAACAAATGTATTGTACATATTGACATTTCTAAGAATCATCGGATATATCAAAATTACGAAATTTATTCAATAGTGGGGGCTGGTGCTTCTCTCCATCTGAATTTGATAATTCTATCGAAAAATTTTGATTCTCCTTATTCGGTTTGGAAAATTAGGCCCTGAGTATCATTGACAATTCCTAACAAGAGGAAAGCGCCGTATGATACAATTAAATTCGTTCTATGTATATTCTGCATCTTATTTTAAATTTGTATTAAAATGGTCAATTCACTTCTGTGTCTTTCATGCAATCTTGTTTCATTATAAACAAGATTTTCAAAAGATGTGTGTGTGTACTCAAATTGTTTCTTTTGAAAGAAATAGTTATAGATTGCTCGTGTCGTCATCTTATTCAATTGTTGTTGGTCTATAAATTGATAACTTAAATACTTTTTTCATTTTAACATTTTGCTCTGTCACTTTTTACATATCATGATTGATTCAGATTTACTCGACGGGTGTCGTCGTCGTGTTTCCAATTACCACTTTGACATTTCAGTACTATCTCGTTTACCACCGTGTAACTCTGTAGAGAGGCCAGTAAGACTGTAATATTTCACACGAGTCCAAGTCATGACTGATTCTCTGCGATTTCGTATTGACACTCTATCGTAAAGTCATTCCTTTTCGGGGAGTTTTGATTTCCTTTTTATTATTATTTTTTTAAAATTTTTTAATCTACAAACTTAAATGTCCTCTAATAGATAAACAGGTTGAATAAAATATTTCGTGAGCATGATTTATCCACAAATCAAATGAAACCGAAGTGCTCATTTTTTGTACAAGGTTTTGAGCCCAATGAAAATATGTGATTTTATAGTACATAACTATTATAATGTCCTTTTTCATAAAAATACTCGCACCAAGCAAATGATTAAGAGCGTATATATCTACTGCGCTACTGGTTATGATATTCTGTTAGAATATCTACAACAAACACAACGGAAGTAAATGTCAATTCCCTTCTAACAAAGAAATCTAGAATATATCAAAAAGTACCATTTATACTATCAGTTGTTTATATATGTAGACGCCATAGTAAGCTTTTTATCATCGGTTCTTAAGGCGCTTTAATAAACACCCTTTTGACTGTTATTTTCTTTACTTTTGAATATTGACCGATTCTAACGTCGATTTTGTTTATGCGAATCTTCACGGTTCACTTGACTTCTTCTATAAATCAAGCACTTGACCCCAATTTACTGGGTTTCATTCCATAATAACCATCACATGTGAAAGTTATGAGAAAAGTCATGTCGTTTGCTGCCAAATTTGAGCCTAACAGTGATCGCAGTGGTGTGTACTTAGGAACCCATTTACACATCACGAAGGCTATTGCTACATTTACTGTCGGTAGAAACCCCAATGGATTCGTCATTTGTTTACAATGTGTAACAGCTAATGATGTTCATACATTTATTTTCTTTCAAATAAGCTGAGAACTTTTAACTAAAGTGTGTACATGAAGAATTATTTTTCTTGCATAATCAACCAACGTTTTTATTCACTAATTGGATTTCAGTAATTGCCCGATGGATATCATTTTAGTTTGATTTTCTTTGAATTTGTTTTTTTGGTTTTTTTTTTTCTAACTTTTTCGTCTTCATGACAATGTGATTCATAGCCGACTTAAATAGTATTGGTTGTTGACAATAGTGACTAGATTTTTACTTTTCTTTCGATCACTTTGGTTTTTTCATGGTCGCTTCCTAGGCTGCAACATTTAGACCCTTAGCATCACTGACGAAACCTAGAAGGACGAAGCAGCTGTTGATTCATTGTCTCTACTGTATCTCACTCTAAATTTTAATCTAAATTTGCTATTCGCTTGTTTGTCAACAGTACAGTCTACTTTAATGATTTATTGTATGTTTTTTACTGGTGACATTGAAAGAAACAAATGAGTAAAATACCCAACGTTTACATTTGACACTTGTTCGCATATCGCAAGACCATGAAATAAAAAACGAATCTGCATTTCGGAACGCCGTAAGTGATAACAATAGGAACTATAGCACAGACAAGTGCTTATAGAATTGTTCGTCCAGAACCCAAGAGACTGGTACATGATGAAAGGAGAAATAAGACAGAAGAAATAAGTTCATTGGGACAGGAAGTTATTTTATTAGTTGTTGTTTTCCTATTCTTCCCGGTGGTTAAGTCACATTTCCTGAATAGATCACCGACATTTTCTGTAGATTGAAGAAAAGACTACTTAATGAAAGTTTTGGAAGTGTGGACTGCGTACAAAGTCTATATATAAATAAAGGTAAATCTATTCTACTAGGTTTTCACCTTAAAATGAGGTTTTTATGCCACAAAATTATACATATAATATGTACAAATAATGTGAGAGGTATCAACAGAAAACGGTCATAGGAAGAAACATTTTATTTGGGAAAATAGTAAATATTGCACTAGTTCACACTTCGAGGCTGCAAAAGGGAATATCCTGTTCACATAGTCCTCAACCTCATTCATTCTTTACAAACAACCTTAACATACTGTACAAAATCGGGCCACGTGACCCGGAAGTGATGTCTAACCGGTACCGGTTAAAGGTTGATATATATATAAATGCAATATAAATTAATAACATTTAAATTTGTAACATAATTAACACGGCAAAATTGATGTTGAGTGAAGGGAAAGTCTTACAAAATACGGGGATGCTGTGTACATACTGTTGTTAATATTTGATCTTATTTCTGGCACTGAAAGCTGACGGCATTTTCTTTTTCTATTCTTGTTGTTTGATGTTTTTAAGCATTTGGATGACTCGGAAGCTGGCAGCATTTTGTAAGACCTACCCTTGAACTTTTGACTGATCGATGAAACGAAATTTCTTTTTACAAAAAATGTCAATTTTACTCTTGGAAACGGCTTCACATTAAAATTTCGAATGCGGCAATCGCTTATTTGTCTGGGTATGGACCGGCCATCACTTTCTTCACGAAGTCTGAAAGAAAGAAAAAATATTATCAGATAAATGAAACCCTCATCGGCGTCAAACAATCAAACAAGAAGCACATAACAGATATGACATTGTTTATACGTCCATGACGTTTTCACATAAGACGTATAACTATGTACAAGTATCAATATTTTCAATTTTACAATATCCACTCTTTGATATCTAGACAGAGGGTCAACACTTTCTTCTATATCTAGAGGCAATGCTTCAATCATCACGGAATCTATATTTATTTTGACAAGATAACGCAAGACGTTTCACCAAGGACCAGCAGCAACAGATACAACAACAGGTTACCAACAATTTATACAGAAACAGGTTACCAACAATTTATACGATAACAAGTTACTAACAATTGATACAACAACAAATTACTAATAACAGACAACAGGGTACCTACCTTCGTATTTCACGTTTCCTTCCAAATCTTCCTGTAAGTCTGTCAGTCTGATGATCTCGTCAACGTCCTCATCTGACAATTTCTCACCTGTAAATGTCGAACATTGTTAGTGCAGTCTATAAATAGGTTTATAGATTAACGAGATAAGAAATACCATTGTGTCAACTTCTTTGATACTTTGCACCAGAGATGATTTTGACTAAAACAGAATATCCACTTTATCGGATAGCAATTAGGGTTATGTACACATCTAATCTATATCTGTCTTATAATGTAAAGGCTTTGTAAGAAACTTCCATAGGTACTATCTTTCAAATCATCCGATGATAAGTTCCCAACATTTAAAACTATACTGTATAAATGTGTAACAATGTATACAGGGCACAAGACTCGGTGTACATCTGAAGCAGGCCAGGATCTTCATTAACCCTCTGAGAACAATACTTTGATGCCAACACCGAAATTTAAACGTACATTTTAGTGAAACTTATATGGCAATTTGTCTGTACCTTACACAGTGAAAAAAAAACTTGGTGAGGACATCCCTTATTCCGTAAGTACTTCGTAATGTGGACATAAAACAGCTATTATCTAACGCGGTGAGCACGTGCCTAATTCATAAATAATTCCCCAACATGCATCCTCAATTCCTTAAATAATAGGGCGTATTGGTATGGAGCAATTCTTACCCAAAGCGGTGAGGACGTGCCTAAGTTCGGCTCCGGAGATGAATCCCTGTCCTTCCCTGTCGAAAGTCTTGAAAGCCTCCATGTAGTCGGCAAATGTTCCCTGTTCACAATCCATGAGACCCTCGTAGGCGGGGAGGAATTCTTCGAAGGGAAGGGACTTCTCGCCTACAACCAAGTATAATATATGAAGCGTTTTGGTGTGTTATTCTGTTTAACACGAACGTAACTAACGGTGGGACTGGTTTAGAAAACGTTCTTATAGTCCAAACGCTTCAAGGAGTATAGCAAATTTAGTGTGATTCTAAAGATCTGTATATCAACTTACACCTTGGATTTTGCGTTTAGTGTTCCTTATCTGGAAATGACATATATCGTCACAAATCGCTTGATTTTATTTTCAGTAATTAGCATACTTATCGTTTTATACATGAATATATGAATTTGGACAACAGATAATAGTAACCTTGGTAACTGCACTTAAGATGATGACGTACCCATTTTGTGTGTGCCTCCTACGGCGAATACATCCTCATTCCTGGGGTTGATTCCCAAACACCTGCACACATCGCCGAGCTTGAAGGCATCGACAGCTCCGTCGCGACCATCCCAGAAGTCAAAAAGTTCGAAAACATCCTTCAGGTCTGAAATATTATACAAAGTACATACAACATACATGATACGTTCATCATTACATTATCTATATTGGTCCTGTATTTAACAACTTCCCACTATTAAAAATTGCTATAATTATATCCGTACTAATCAAGATAATTTGTAGTAACGAGAATATTCATGACTGGAATAAAGAACGTTATAACTTTTTAAATACATAAATACATTGAAACCAAAGTTATTTTTGACATAAAACAATAAATTGTGACATCCATTAATGTAGTTTGATTTTGTTGAAAAGAAATTAGATTTGACTGCAACGAATTAACAAAGGTGAGGGATTAAATGTTTTGAAGAAAGTTGGAGATTTTAGAATTCGAGTTAATGATATCAATAGAGTTAAGGAAATTGGTGATATAAAGATATAGGTTTCTAAAGAGGGCGTGGTCCTAGCGTTAGCCATGGTGGACGTTAAGTCATTGACGTGTTAGTCAAGCTGTTTTAAAACAAACGGTTGTAAGGGCACGTGTTAACACTAATTTCCGTGTTATGGGAGTTTATTTGAGGGTTTCAGCGGTGCCCGTTATCAATTAATGTGGTTTAAATATAAATACAACCATTTATCCGTGGTTATTTCATAGATTTAAAACGATTATCCATACAAAAGCATCTGAGGGCGTGGAATTTGTGTTAGCAGGTTCAACGTGATACCAGCGACCGTGTTAATCAAGCTTTCTTTGAACAAAAACAATTTTAGGGGGTTACGCTTGTTTACGTCACTGGTCGCCATGGATATTATTTATTTGTTATATTTTGACTTCGATATCAAAGTGAAACTAGCACGTCCCAAAGGATAGTATAACACTACTGCCTTATCTGTTCTTATGATCTTATCTAAGCTGCAATAAGTTTACATAACACAGTGCGCATTGTCATGACAACGCATCACGTTTGTAGGTATAGGATAATGTATGTAATGGTTTGGAAAGCTCTGGGATATCTCCTGCTGGTGTTCGTGGTTGTGTGGTATGTATCTTAAGCCAGACGGTAATTAATGAAGCCATCTTTCTAGTATCCGCCATGATACATTGAGCCATCTGTCATTTATAACGTGCACTATTTTTCTCGGGCGCAGTCATATCACATCGCGTGTGTATACCTGTACGAGTGTGTGTATGTGAAGTGGCCTGCATCGCGCCGCACCATGTATGGATATAGGACGCCCACTACCATGTGTTAGTGCTACGACAGAGCGTTTGTGTATACATACATCCCTCGTGTAGGTACATACATACAAACACTGTCGGTAATTATTAGCACGTGTAGCGCCCATCATGTACGCACGAATAAAGGCCTGTAGTGTCTTGTCTATCATCATGCCGTGGCGTTCATCACTACAACATAGACAAGTCGGATCGTACCTAACGTCATAGGCTAGGTGTAAATGCCAGAAACCCTAAAACGACCTGAACGTACCTAACGTCATAGACCAGAAACCCAAAAGCGACCCGGAACGTACGCAATCTCACATGTTTAAAGTTATACCCTGAAACGACCCGGAACTTACCTGACGTCATATACATATAGTTATACCAGAAATACCTTAAACGACCCGGGACGTACCTGACGTCACAGAATTAGAGTTATACCAGAAACCCTTAAAACGACGCGTTACGTACCCAAACGTCACAGAATTCATAGTTATACCAGAAACCCTTAAAACGACACGTTACGTATCCAAACGTCACAGACATACAGTTAGAACAGAAACCCCTAAAACGACACGTTACGTACCCAAACGTCACAGACTTACAGTTTCCCATAAACACCTAAAACGACACGTTACGTACCCAAACGTCACAGACTTACAGTTTCCCATAAACACCTAAAACGACACGTTACGTACTTAATATCATAGAACAATTCAATACCGCTAGCTCCTAAAATGGCTCGAAATGTACCCAACAGCACTTTATCATAACTAAATCATTTAAACCCTTTTTACATTTTTACTTCAGTTAATCAACTAGTCATAGAAGAACATTGACATCAAAGAGATTTGGAAACTGTCCGAGAGATTTCAGTCGATCGGCTTATCAAATTCGAAATTCCGCGGTTAAACATTTAAAGTTAACAGAAATCTTAATAAATCGCTAGACTGCTACAAGATAAGTGAAGATCACAAGTTCGGTAGACCTAAACCAGTTTACATGGACTTTCTATACTTTTACTAGGGAAATATCACGTATTTAGGGACAGGTGCACGAGGTGGCGCGATCATAACCTTCAAAAAATGGCCATTTTCTTCCCTTTTTTTAAGTGGTGAAGTGAAGATCGGTGTTTTGAGAACGAAACCCTTGCATTGTCAAAATTTGTACACTCATATGATTGTAGGCATTGATATGGAATCTCTCAAAAGGTTACTTGTGAAAACAGACTTAGAATTGCTGAGTGGATTTTATACACATAGCGTAAACATGGAAAGCACACCTCGAGTTTTATAGGAAGAAAAGATATGGACAATTGAATCACTTTGGACAGGGAACTGGTGCTATAAGGAAATCTCGCTACGCTACATAACTGTTTAAGTTATTAGGAATATGAAGTACGAAACTAAACGCTGTAAAAGATGTACAACAATAAGAAATGTCTATAATATGGCAACGAGCCACAAGTTAAATGAATATTTCCTTGGTAAAATTCCAAGTCATATATATTATCGATCTGTCAGTGAAGTTATTGACGCGGGAGGTTATCGACATTGATTACACTACATGATCCCCACTACACCTACAACGACTTTCACCCTCTCTACTGGGCTCCTGATGGGGCGTATCATATTTCCGTTTTGGCACGCGCCGGTTACTAGGGGAGCGGTTGTTTTTCATTCCACCATGGCGATGCCGAATCTCGGTTTGCATCGTTGCCAACCTCTCGTTGCAGAAATAATACACGTGTATGACAGAAAACGAAGATGGCTTTGCATCTGTGTGTATTCCACAAAGTCCAGCATTCATATTGCACATATTTTCATAATTGGTGTAAGTGTGACCCGTGTCATTTCTATCACGTTTCAGAATTTAATCCAAAGAACATATGTAGATATCACACAATAATCCAGCCCATTAACAATCGGAATGTATCTATATCATTCATATATCCTAGAGGATAAGTAAACTCCGTCATATTTTTTTCATTCGGAATCAACTACAAATACATTATCCTAGAGGAAAACATCCAAAACTAGAATCCGTCACAATATTGAAACAAACGTTAATATCCCATAGCAGGCATAATGAAAACTCACGTGCTGTTCCATTTCACACAAGTAAGTAGGGTGTTGCTGAAAGGATATTAATAAATTCTAAACAGAACCATCACAAATGGTCAGTCAGCTGCTAATAGGGATTAGAGTGACCAGCGGCTAATGTACAGACTTGGTGAGGAACTTCTAATAGGTCAGAAAAGGTTCGTTCAAATATATGTTCACATCCAGCCTGATAAAGCATGCATTTTTATGTAGGAGATTCTTCCCATGGTATAACCAGCGTGCATTTTATGTAGATGTTCTACAATTTGTCAGGGGTCAGACCAGGTAAAACAAATAATGGCAACTAGTAGATAGACACTAGCTTCTGGTGTATTGGGGTTTCAAGGGAAATGGGATATTAAAATAAATAGATATTCTGTTATTTTAGCAGGCTAGGCAGCACTATATGGTGTACAAGAAACCCTTGTCTGAACAAGACGGATGATATAAGATTATATAGATTGGAAGATAAGTGGGTGTTGGTAGGAATCAGCTGTATTGGGTTGTTGTGTTTCAATATACAGGGAGGTTACAGACCGGGATATACTGGGATATCAAAATACGGAATAGTAGTTAGTACTTTTGAAGGAAAAATGAGGGAGCACATCTACAAAGGTCAAAGGTTACCGTCGATTTCGTCTTGTGAAAGCTTCGGCTGGAATAAGATAATTCAAACATGACGTCATAATTATGTATATTAGAGCACTATTATATTGCTGATAACAAGTCTAAACTATTTGTATTTAATTAAGCAAGCTTTTGTATGCTATAAATATATACATTTGTAACTTCAACTTATCTTTGCATGCCTACTCAATACTATAATATCCAAGACAATCAATTTAGCGTCGCTGAAAATTGCAAAGCTTCCAGAAACTAAACTAAGATAGCCTGCAACTTGTATTAAATACGAACTACAGTTGGTTAAAACAGAACACTTTATGGCACTACATAATATGATGCATAGATAGCTGATATATATGTAACAAGTTAATAAAAAAAATGTTAAAACTGTTCTAATAATGCAGTATCCGATATACACTAACAAAGATTGTAAATATTGGAAGACAATCTACAAGAGGAAAAGTGTAGATAGTAATGAAGTGTTAGTCAAACTTACCATCTTGTTTAGTTTGTGGTGAGTGCTGCCGCCTGTGAAATTGTAAGTCCTCTAGTGAGCCGGAATGCTATTATGCCGTGAGATTTCCAGTACGTACTTAGTGCTATATATAGGGTAAGTCGACTCTTAACAGAGGGGAGGCAGGTAGCAGCACACACGTCCAAAGGATAGGGTTTCAACATCTGCATCGATGAATGATTATCATACAGCGTCGACACGCTTCTATGATCGTGTAACTGATATGCTATCACACGCAAATTATTTAGATTTTACTGGTATGATGTATCATGTTTGATTATACAATTTATAACGGCTTTCTATTCTACCCGAAATAATGTTAATATTCCGGAAGTGACGTTATCATAAGACCTACTGTACAGGAACATGATACCCCAAAACTATAATTGGACTACACAAATTCCATACTCAGCGATAACGTTTTCGTTATAAGCGTAAAACGGATTTATTTTCTAAATTTGCGTTTTGGTTACCAATGTTAGAAACGTTTCGATGTGTAGTTATCATAATAAGCGGGTATTTTATTTGCATAGTAATGTTCGTGTTTGACTGCAGTTCCTATGTTTTGGCGCATTCGAGTACACAGGTGTGCACGCGCTGCCAAGGTCGAGTTGCTCAAATAAGGTAATCTCGACCCGTGTTCTACCAAGGGAAGAAAAGGGATAGTGCGTATGTAGGTGGTGTCTCTGTCGATACACGATCCCCAGTCGTCGTGACGGGGGAGGGGAAATTACACCAGCTCTCTACTATAAAGGCCATGGCACGTGTACCATATTAAATGAAGGGTTGCAAAACGCCATGTCAAAACCCGAGCATTGATTGTTGACATAACAGAAGGAGGCCACGATAGGGGGGGGGGAGGGATGTTATCTCAGACATGCACTAATTTATATATCTATATGTTCATATACATGTGGGTGTTCACGGCCGACATATTAGTTCGATCTCTGCTCTTGAGAACTATACAAATCAGGGGAATTGACAGACCATGGTTTGTATAGATTCCATAGTCAAAATACCAGTACATTGTACATGAGCCATGAAAATGTCTCCAACACAACGCCGTACATGTATCGAAAGCGAGAAGATGGAGCTACGTACTTCATCCGAAAATAGGCAGAATGTGGACTTTTAAAAGAACTGCATAATATCATCTTAAATAAGTTTTGTTTAAGAATTTGAAACTTTAATTACAATACAAGGATTCACTTTCATTGGCTGTTGTTAGACAGTTTGGTACATATATTCCAAATGATACATTAAAACAATGATTTTTGTATGATGGGATACTTCTGCTCTCCTGTTATTTTATATCGGATTACCGTGACACGAATTTTGTGTAGAATTATTTCAGCAAGTCGTGCTATTTTGTAAATCTCACGCGACATTTGGACAAATAGTATCGGTTGGTTGACATAATTATTGAGAGTCAGGTCAAATCATTTGGTTAAAGTCTGTGATAATTTGATTTGTCCTATTGTGAAAATTATTGACTGGTCAAAATAATTTGAACAAAAGAGGCATTGGTTTTACAAAATATACAGCTTCTCACAATAATTTGCTCAAGACGTTATGTTACGATAATACAACCTAAAGTAACTGGATGTCAGAAATATGTTACCATATTTATCTGATACAACATCGCCCCTCCCGGTACATACAACATTATATGCCTCGGGTAAGCGAATCCATGTGTGTACATCATACAGGGTCAATAATTGTATACGACCCAGTCTTTGTGAAAATACAAGGAAGTCAAAATGCCGATGATCCTGTTTCAATGTAAATAAACCAATAACCCCGATACGTGAATCACATGTCATATGTAGTATAAATACGTGAAACTGATAATGACCTATGACCTACGATTTACGACCAATATGATTATAATAACTGGATCTTAATACGTTAGATATGTAAATACATGTCTATTCATAAACAAAAACATCAAATCTACACATAACTATGTTCTAGTATTAGAGGGTTTTAATAACTTTGTTTTAACATGTACAGTACACTACGCTGAGAGCTTCCAATAATAAGTCATCTTACTGTTTCCCAGAACTTACGATATCTTGTGTATATCAGAAAATTTCTTTTCATGAGTATATTTTTCCCTCACACATTTCACATGTATAGGAATTAACCGTTTCATTATCAGAAGGGAGTGAAACCAAATGTTGTTCAATGTTACCAGTGTTATAGAAAACTATGAAACTATTCGAGGTTCAGACATATTTGCTTACAATAGTTTCTCTACATATTATTTAGAGCGACGTGGTACCATAGTCTGATTTGTTTATCTTAACTAGGATATATATATATGTTTAAATATACACGTGATTTCACTTGATCATACGCGCAAATTCTCATCATGATCTAGCATGAAGTCAACACAGTAAACCACGTTTATTTATTTACTCTTTTGATAAACTTTGCTTTAACGACGAACTTACGACAAGGACCCAAATACAACACATAGGTAATATATACCTACATGTGTCATCATGTTTAAATCTGCATACACTTTCTTTGAATTTTTAAAATTTCCGTAACTTATGCGTGTAAAGAAATATTATCGTTTTGAAACACATGGCGATGAGTATGCTGTCTTATCTACCACGTGTACACCATTCCCGTAGTGCCCCCGCTATAGTGTAAACATATCGATTAGATCGAACAGCGGCGGTGAGGTAACACATGTTGTATTTGATATATGCTAATGCGGACCGTCGCTGTGAACGAAGGATTCTACCCCTCCTCCCAACATGGACGGCGGGGGAGCAGACGGGAACACAGATGGTATGTTGGACTAGCGTGAAGCATTCACTTAGACAGATAGCCGTTTGTTATTACGACAACTTCGATTTCACAAGCGGAACTGACTCTGGTTCGAGATTAAATGCATCCCTCAGTCTATGGTGATACCGTGACGTCGGATAAGAGTCGTTAGCCTTATGTGTTTGTTAGATCCGACATCCCAATACGTGATGTTTTGTATGTATGATGATATATGACATTATCTATATAACCATATACTCCTTTCTGTTACAGCATTGTTATATCGCCTGATCTATGAAAGTTGTCTCGGGTGTTCGCATTACTTCGCTAAACTTCTATATTTGATCTGAAACTTATCACTTGGTCATACACATATACATGTTTTCGATGTCAGATTTTTAGCAGATACACTGCTGAAGTTTTCAGTCAGGAAACCTTGCCAACACATCGTTCATTATTCCTAGGGACGAAATACCAATTAATCCCGCTGGAGTGTTCCAATCCTGTTGTTATGGATACTCCTTGATGACATTGATTAACACCGTTTTTTCCTTTGGTTGGCTAGTTGTTCAAATAATTCTACCGACATTCAAACTGCTTACTGCCATCCTTACTATCAGGAAAAACAATGTTAATGTCTTTTTGTCACACTCTTCGTGAAATCCGAAGAACTATAGACATTTTTACCAGTTTTGAGAATTCCCCTCTGAAATAGATCTCTCCTAGCTGTAACAACATTTATTTTGTTTATATATAAATATATATATAATCCTACTAGGTAATCACGGATCAGTCCTCAAAACGTGGAACTACAATATCCGGTATGATAATGTTATTGTAAATTTACCTGTGAATGAAAACTTAAGGGACTGTGTTGTATATTTATAATGTTGTATCCCTTCCGTTAGAACCGGTTCTTACCTACTTTATGGCAATTAAACGACGAGGTTAAATTAACATACACGTAAATTAATGTTTTTTTACGCAGTTACATTAAGGATTTAGTCAATAAATATTCCAAATTTAATAAATACTAAACAGCACGTCTTCATTTCGTACGCGAGTTAAGTACTGTATATATGTGTGATGATGGAATTTCTGTTTAATATTCTTGCAAATAATGATCACTTGGGAAGTTGTAAAGGGGTGCTCGCTTCATGTGCCCCCAACAGTCCCGTCTATGATGAAGATGTTACCAATCGCTGCCCTCGATCTTTACTTTGAACTCAAACAACAGAGACGATTAGTGTCTTTACCTATGAGCTGTATGTTTAGTGAATTTACCATTTCTAGACCGTGACATCCTTTCTCGAGCCGATGATAAATACATGGATATTGTCCGTATCTTGTATGCAATGATTCATATTAATGAGTTAGCAGAAATTGTACTCACAAGGACATTGCTGTCACCGGGTACGAAATATTCCATATCTGTAGGGGTATGATTCGTGTCAGCAAGATAGCATGGGGCACGAGAGCACGAGAGCGCATGTGCACGGGGCAAAGATTGATATTTGTTATACATATGTATATACATGTTTCTTATGTTAGATAAACAGAGCCCATGCACACAGAGGATTAGTTAATTTCCGGCATAAAATGTAGCTGGTTTTTTGTTTAGAAAATCTAGATTGCGTAATCACGAGTTCGCAGTGTTTCTGATGTGCAGTATCTCGATATTGGTGTGCAATATCATTGGGAAAATTGTTTTCGGGTATTCATGTTACAAATATTGGGCGAGAATTGTAGAAGTTCGCAAAATGTCTTAAACACGCAGTTATTAGAGAAATTACACCTCACTGGTAGACGAATGATTTGGTATACAAGTTTTCTTTGCATGTTAGAAAGAAACAACTTCACTGAGATTACTGTTAAGTGAATCCAAAGTCAACAACATTTTTAGAAATATTTCGATGCATGACTTAGACAAAATATCCCGACTGAATCTGTAAGTACCGGATTTAACCATACACCTTCCCATCTCCGTGTTTTCAAAGCTGGCATATGCCGTGTCGTACAACGTAATAGAATACCGCAGTGCGCACGTACATGTAGCACCTGCACGAGCCAACAGATGGAGAAATGCTTCTCGGGCGTTCAATATTAATCCGTGGTGTTTAGGGCGGGGTTGTGTAAGAATGTTGTAAACTAAGGAAACAAAGTCCTATGATGTTTTGAGTGATGAATGATGCATTACACTCATGATGAATCTGTTCAGTCAGTAAATAATATAACGGTTTGCTACAGCATTAGTCCGGGATCCACTGTGGAGTGATAATTTGACGTTGTAAATACATCAGATATATACGGCATGTTTCAACATAAGCTTTGCCTGTAGATGCGAAAAGAAGATTTCTTTTGAATTTCACATATCGTTTGGAATAATCTTTTGAAAATTATTTTGGGTAGTTTACATTTTCAAAGCGAGTGGGAAATGCCGTCTGTAAATTCAAATATTTGATAAATAAAATTGTATTTTGATATGCACGTAAATATGGACACATTACGCGATAGGGTTTATTTCTACGGTATACACGTATGATAAGTAATTATATAACTATAAAACATGAAATGATATGACATTGGAAGTGTTAGACTCATCGGCATTGTTAAATGTTTTGTTTCTTAAATTGTATAAAAATAATCAGAGTATTGTGTAATATTATCGCACATACCAAAGGATATGTCCCTGGTTCTGAGCTCCTACCTTACATGTCCATACTTTCTTATCAACTAACGCAGAAAAATTTGAGCTGACGTTTATTTCTTTAAAAAAAACACCAACACGCACACACAAAAACATGCTTACAAAGATGAAATTCATCAAATATCATAAAACCTGAAAAATATTGCCGCAGTTTTGTAGAATTGTTCAGTTTTCATCTGAACAAGCGTAGGGATGTCTTCCCGCGCTGACATGTTACTGGTGAGGTGTAGGATGGAGTCGACGTGCAGCATCTACGTTTACACGTGCATTGCTCGCTTTTTGCCGACGTTAATTGTTCCGACATAGCCGTGTGAACATCTTAGGTGATACACGTTCTATGTGCCAGTCCTATTTATAGAACAAATCATTCCAAAGATCCCTATGTATCCAGGTCAATGCTAACATCTCGTTTATGAGCGATGAAACATTAGTGGTATGAGCGGTTTTCTACGTAATGTCAGTTTATTGGTAATGCTCTGGCAAATATTGCTTATATAATACTAAAATATAACGCTCCGGTAATTTTTCAAGATAAGGACTTCAGATAATGATATGAATGGTTTGTTATGGTGGCAAAAATGACATTGATCTGGTAGGCCCGTGGTGATGCACTATCGAATGTCATGTAAATGTATTGTATAACTACATTTAGAAGTTGGGAGTCGATTACATCAAAGAACATACTTGTAGTTGCAGAAAACCACAATCTTGAAAACAAAATAAAACACTTGAGTTGGATTGAAAAAAAAATCTTAAATAGTGATTCTTTAATGTCCAACTCCAACTGGGAGACCCGCCGTGTCCCCACACACGTCACAACATTTTTTGTTTTAATTGAGAGTAAACCTAACCCATTTAAATTAACTTCAAATGCTGTTTTCCGTTTCTTTTTGGTCTGATATTGGACATTGTTATAAACGCATATTTCCAATGTATGGGTCTGTCGTCCCGTCTATATATACACATACCACAGGCCTGATGGACATGCGTAGGTAAATCGACATTATCCTCTACACACTCTGTTTCACCAGACCTCGTTACATATACTACCAGATACCACTGTAAGTCTTACATTATACACTACCCGGTTCCTTGTAGTTTGTTAGACAAATTGCAACACTTAAACATCATCCAAAACAAGGGGCACAAAATAAACGTGATCGAAATACATGAGGCTTGTTTCACACACATAAAACATAACAACTATAGACGGACATGTTTCATAGTAATTCTGAAACATCACACACAAGCAAAATACAAATTCATCGTCGTCGTCGTCATCGTCGTCGCAGCAGCGTTTGAAATATTGCGAGAGAAATGAAGGTTAAAGTTATCTTCTCCATTACCCCAGTAGTATAAGAACATACCCTCAGAATGTTAACACAAAAATACATTTGTAACCGAATAAAATTGTTGATGGCTTAACTTTTGTTCTATCATGTACGTTTTCACATTTGTAGCATACAACGTTCCCGAAATTTCAGTTTTGGAAATGAAATATCGGTATCATTGAAAAGATAATTAACACCACATCTACCTGTTATATCAAATTTTCTTCGTCAGAGAACCAAGTTTTTGTCGTCACAGAAAAGATAAATTACATCACAACGATCTGCTATACCAAGTTTTCTTCGTCACAGAACCAAGTTTTCTTCGTCACAGAACCAAGTTTTCTTCGTCACAGAACCAAGTTTTCTTCGTCACAGAAAAGATCATTAACACCATATCCAAATGCTATACCAAGTTTTCCTTGAGCGAGAAATATTGTTTAGTAAAATATCATTAATTATATCTAGTTCGATGGATCAACGATGCACGAGTAGATTGATTGAGAGAGGAATGAGGGATCTGTAGCGGAGACAGGTGTTTTTGTGCACGTGCCAAAGGATTTTGCTATAATTGGAAACTTTTAATCATATGAATGCCAGTTGATGTCTTAACTCTGAATGCCACAGTTCTACAAGATCGGGAAAAAGCAACAAGATTGATAAAACCTGTTGATCACATTTACATGCACATCCATTTACTGTTTGCGTAGAATGTTGGCAGAGCCATCGATGTTTGAAGGTAACAATGGATCTCTCAGACCGTGACGTCACAGTTCACTGTCTCTCCACATCTGACTACACTTACGAGTACATGACCATATAAGGAGCCAGATTGGAAGTTTAGTGTCCGTAAAGGTGTGGCTGTTCCTGAGTTTCCATAGTGATCACGTGTTTAACATGTTACACGCGGTGTTAAATATTTTATCTCGTCCTGGTGACCGCTGGAAAGTACATTGAAGCTTAGAGCCTTCTATGAATTAGTGATG